TCTTGCTCGTTAGTGCGTCCAATTGCGCCCCAATGTATTTGACAAGTTGGGAAGGCTCCAGGTGAGACTTTTCTTGATTGACAGTCAAATTTAGTTTGTTCAATGTATCGAGTGTGGTTTGGGTGGCTGCAATGGCGCCATGGTAAGAATGGGCCACCAAGAGCCAGTCGTTGATATATGAGAAGAGCTCCCCCCCCCCTTGGTGTGGAGGTATACCACCACAGGAGCCATACACTTTGTAAATGTTCTGGGGGCTGTTGAAAGCCCAAAGAGGAGGGCGGCAAATTGGTAGGTTGTATCCTCGAAGCTGAATCTGAGGAACTTTTGATGAGAGGGATGGATTGATATATGAAAATAGGCAACTTTGAGATCGATGGTGACAAACCAATTTCCCTGGGATAGAAGAGGGAGAATGGAGTCAAGTGTCAGCATACGGAACTTTTTATAAAGTATGTATTCATTAAGATCTCTGAGGTCCATGATGGGTTGGATGCCCCCATCCTTTTCAGGGACCGCAGAGTATCTAGAGAAGAATCCCTCACCCGAGTCAGAAGGTGGAACCCTGGCTATAGCCCCCTTTCTGAGGAGGGAGGATATCTCCTCCTGCAAAAGTACCGAGAAAGAGGTGAGCCTGATGGAATTCAGTGTGGGATTCATGATAATTCTATTAATTTTCATCTTGGATGATGGCCAGAACCCACTCATCAGTTATAACCCTCCTCCACTCTGGAAGGAATGGGGAGAGTCTTGTGGGGCTATTGAAAAATTTAGGAGAACTGCTTACCCCTGCATTGGGACTTTCAAAAGGGTTGTCTGGAGCCTATGAATTGTTGCGGCTTAAATTGCAGGGAGTTGGTTTGTGGTAGCTGATAAGTCCGCTCAGTCGGTTGCTGCTTAGTGTACCGAAAGGGCTGATACTGGTACTGCTGTTGGAATGCAGGCCTCTTGTAGGAAGGCTTTTGATACTTACACGACTAGTATGGTATGTACGACTTGGCTGTCTTTCTCATCTTATGGATGTTTTCCATGATATCATCCATTTTCCAATTAAACAGCCCCACGGCGTCAAAGGACAAGTCTTCAATCTTATTCTTAGTATCATCCATAATGTTAGCCGCCCTGAGTCAAGCGTGCCACCGGACAGCATATAGCAGCGCTATATGCTGATGGAGACTTGTTAAATGCTTTAGCCAATGTTTGTGCTGGTCATCTGGACCTGGTGCACTCTAGTTTTTCAGAGCCTTTACGTGCCTCTTAATCTATTGTACGTGGTAAGTGACTTCTTGCTGACTGTTTTTGGTTTCTGCCTTTTTTTCCCCCATAGGAATGCATTAATTAAATTCCAATGCATTCCTATGGGAAAACGCCCTTCACTAGATGAAATTTTCACTGGACGGCATTAACCACGGAATGGATTAATTTTCTCTTGCAAGGCACCACTGTACAGGGAAAAACAACAGCTACTCTTTGTGGCCTTCATAGATCTCACAAAGGCCTTTGGTTTGGTTAGCAGGGGCGGCCTTTTTAAAATACTTATCAAGATTGGATGTCCACCTCGGATCCTTAACATCATCAGGTCCTTTCATGAGGGAATGAAAGGCACTGTAGTTTTTGATGGCTCAACATCAGATCCCTTCGACATCTGAAGTTCAGTGAAAAAGGGTTTTGTCCTCGCGCCGTCATCGTTTGGGATCTTTTTGCTGTCATGCTGAAGTACACCTTTGGAATTGCAACAGAAGATGTCTATCTCTGGACTAGATCAGACGGAAAGCTCTTGAATCTCTCTAGATTGAGAGCAATGACCAAAGTCCAGCTGAAATGCATGCGGGACTTCCTCTTCCCTGATGCAGCTATTGTTATCCATTCTGCTGAAGACCTCCAACAACTCATGAATCGTTTCAGCAAGGCCTGCCAAGACTTTGGACTAACAATCAGCCTGAAGAAAACACAAGTCATGGGCCAGGGCATGGACTCACCTCCCTCTATTACCATCTCCTCACAAGAATTGGAGGTTCCACTGAGTTTGGTATAGGGAGTTTTCATTTAAATAATTCTACAGTATATTGATCTTGCAAGTACTCCTGTGAGGAGCTTGAATATTGTTGGAAGGCATGTAATTGGTCGACAATTACTGGGTCCATTTCCTTTTTGTAATCTTTTATTTTCAGAAATATGCGGCCTGTTGTCATCCAATCTTCAGTTGTACAATTCTGAAGTGATTAAATTGCAGTGCTATATGTTGATGGAGACTTGTTAAATGCTTTAGTCAATGTTCGTGCTGGTCATCTGATCGTGGTGCACTCTAGTTTTTCAGAGCCTTTACGTGCCTCTTAATCATTTCAGTTGTTATTACAATATCATCCATATGTTTTCCTTGAGTTTCTTTACACATTTCTTTAATACACAAGGTATCTTTGTTCCATCCTGTTGGGCATTCTTTCCAAAATTTCTTTCCAAAATTTTAGAGCATGATCTTTACATGGGCCTAATTTCTTTTGCTCTGCATTTTCTCTTAGTGATGTATAGAAAATTTTTTGGTTATTTCAAAATTGCATGTTTTCTCCATATTGTTTCAAGGGTTCATCATATCTTTCAATTTTCTTCACTGTAGCTGTTACACATTGTTTTAATTATTCCATAATGCCAACAACTGTCTTCCTTTTTAGGTTATATATTTTGCCTACTTTGACTTTTACTTTTTGATTTTTAAGTTTTGAATCTTTCAAGTGTTTTAAGTTTCTAATGTCTGCACATAATTTGTTTATTTTTCTTTCCAGCAGAATTTTCCATTTTGGAGTGCCAGGGGTTCTCTGGTTTTTTTGTAGCTCATAACTACGTTCCATGGTTATTATGGCAGCTGTGCTATACATTAGCTGGTTTGTTTCCTTCAGCATGTAGATTGGGATTTTCTGATAACTACATTTGGACCAGTCAGCACATCTTTCACTGGTTTTCTTTGTGATTGTGCTCCAGCTGGGGAACCGTTGTCTTTCTGTGTTCTGGCTAGTTGTAGCAACCCTATCACTCACTTATTACAACAGCTGACAGTCTGTTTCTGTGCTCAATTCAAAGTGCTGGTTATTACCTATAAAGCTGATGTTGTTTTGAGGCATATACTGCCCCATTGTGCTAGAGAACTCTCTGGACAGTTTACAACATAATTGTGCAAAGAACAATTTGCCCCGCCCCCAGTGAGCTGGGTACTTGTTTTATTGACCTTGGAAGGATGGAAGTGTGAGTCTACCTTGAACTGGCTACCTGTACACATCAGAGCTGAAATTTAACCATTGCATCACCAGGCTCTAAAGCCCTATACAGCTTGGGTCCAGGTTTTTTAAAGGATTGTATCACCCCATATGAGATATTAAGATAAATAAATAGAGAAGGTGGTCATTAATTATATGGCATAAAGAAAATATAGAGAGACCTGTGAATGATTTGCTTGTGTACAATAAACATCTGAAGAACATCTGTGATTATTATTAACTTTGCTACACTTCAATAAATAAGATCTGTTTGCATTTACCAGACAAGTGTTTAGACAATCGTCTTTTATATTGTGGATAGAGGTAATCCACTGGTGGCAGTGAGGAAAACAAAGACTGGAACCCTTGTGGGGGCACAAAAAGTAGGTGCTTCATAGAGGTGATTGTCACATATGCAAATTTGTAACTTTCAGTTCTTTCCTCACTGGTAAATAAACAACCCCATCCACAATATTCAGGAGGAGACACACATATGTTGGCTTGGCATGTGTATGTCCATGCAACCCTAAGAACTGCAGCAGGGACTGTTTATTTACAAGCAAGGAAGAGAATGAAAGTTACAAATTTGCTTCCGATAAGCAATAGGATTTCAGCCATTGACTTCCCATTCAAAACTCAAAACAAAAAAATCACTCAAGTGATTCACTATAAATTGCAAAAACATACATCATTTCCAACCAGATAAAACATTACTGTTCTGAATCTTTATTTCCCTTGATCAGATCATTTCATATAAAATTCTCTGTGAAAATTTTTAACTTTTTTTTTTCATTTCAAGAGTTGTGCTAAAGTAGCTTTAGAGTAACAGGAAACGTAAACTAGAAAGGTGAGCATAAAGCAACAAAACAAAAAGCAAGATGGAGAAACCCTAAGACAACCAATGTTCTAGGAAGACAATTTAAACATCAGTATAACAAGACATTGAATCAAAAGTTACAACACAAAACAAAGAACAACACACATCACACAGCAAAACAACCAGCTCTTATGAGATACCATCTGGTATTTCCTTTGGTAACTGAAGTCAAATGAATTTCTCTTAGAAGGACTTGAAAGTATCTCTGTGTCATTACTGAAAATCCTATCTGCGTACTTGTACATTATATCTCCAACTGTTAGGGGAGATTTATAGCCAGACTTTAATGGCCAGAGTACACATAGACGTTTAAATAGAAACTCTGGTTGTACTATTTAAGGGTTCTATAAAGTCAAAACGATCAGTTCGAGTCGAATGTGAAAAAAACTAAGAATAATCTTGATGCAAAATCACAGTGCATACAAAAACATGTTACCATTAAATAGCCTTTCAACTTCAATCTTGGACACCTGCCATTCCCCAAAACTCTTCAACCACAATTTATGTAAACATGTAGTGATCTCATCAGGATGTTGCCACAATATACTTAAAATATCCTGGAAAAGGTGCAACTAGAACACCAAGTCTGCACTGGCAAAAATCTACTCAGTGATACAGCTTGGACATACAAAAGCAAATGCTGAAGAAGCATTATCAAGCTATTTGGACCTTCAGGGAAAGAACTCTCTTTAAGCATCAGCCTTCAATTCCACAGTTCTAAACAGACGGATAGGAGTTCACATGTGAATCTATATAAGTATTTTTAAATGTATATATTCTGATTCTGCAGGAAAAAACCACTACAGTAGAATGGGAATGTTAGCATTCCATTGAAAACTTTAGCATAATATCTCAGCTTATTGAACAATGTTTCTTACCATCATTTTTTCGAACAGTGCAAGTATCTCTGTCTCCGACAAAGGTTTATGGACAAAGTTATCTACATCTGCAGAAGTAGACCAATCACTAGTCAAGGAATGCAGTTGTTTCAGATGAAGTACATTCGGTCTATCTTTTTTGCTGCCTGGTATCCGTATGCTGGAAAATCTATCAAACTAAAAAAAAAAGCATGAAGTCTAAAGCTGATATACATATAGAAACTCACCAACCATAAGTCTCAAAAGGGATCGACCGCATACCTATATAACAGATTTTTTAAAAGAAACAAACCTGTGTATCAGGTACTATTTCATTCTTCCCTCTTTCAAAAGAAATGGTCAATTAACATCGATGGCATCATTTAAAAAGCTCACCAGCGTCTGTATTTCCTACGACAACTTCGGAAATTCAATCTGCCTCGGGAGCTGCTTGTCCAATTTTACAGAGGCATTATTGAATCTGTCCTCTGCTCTTCCATAACTGTTTGGTTCGGTTCGGCAACCAAACTGGACAAGAACAGGCTTCAGAGGACTGTCAGAACTGCTGGAAAAATAATCAGAGCTGATTTGCCATCATTGGAAGAGTTGTACATTGCACGGGTTAAAAAGAGAGCGGAAAAGATCGCGGCAGATCCACGGCATCCTGGTCACAACTTGTTTAATCTTCTCCCCTCTGGTCGGCGATACAAGACGCTGTATACTAAAACATCGAGGCACAAAAATAGCTTTTTTCCCTGTGCCATCAAACTGCTGAATTTGCAACCATCTGACGCAACTGGGAGTTGAGGCAATCGGTTTTTGTAGAATTTGCTCTTAATTGTCTTGTGAATTTTCTGTTCATGGTGTGTGTGTGTGTGTGTGTGTGTGTGTGTAGTGTTTTTAAGTGTGGCT